TTAAATAAAATGTCCTCAGTGTGAACTTATGTTTTATTTTTGTGATAAAACATGTGTATGGAAGAATTTTAATAAATATATTACATTGATAATAATTTTCATTGATCCAGGATGGGGAATTTAGAGAGCTTAGTTTTCCGGAGGAATTCGTGTTGGGAAATACTGAACTAGATGGCTCTTTAAGACTCCTCCCAGGACTAACAATCTGATTCTAAGTAGAAAAAAATGTTTTTTTTTTTTTCCAACAAAGATAGCCAACATGGCGGCCTCAACGGACACTGTTCTAGTCTCGGGGGCCAGGAGAGAAGTCCCGAGAACAAGAACTGGGATGGCATCCCGCCTTCCTGCTTGGTGTTCAAGCTCACACTGACTTTCTGGGTCAGGGAGCTGTTTGCCAACGCCCTGCTTCACTCATGACCCTGAATGAGCATCTTAACACAGTGTTCTGCGGAAGTAAAGCAGAAAGCTCCCATTAAGGAAGTGTGTGAGATCCTGGCCTGTGGAGAGCCATTTCTGATGCCCTTCTAATTCTCAGATTAATGGTACAAGATCAATGGCTGCCGGTCAGACTGTTCAGTGATGGAGGACTTTTCATTGAGTTCTGCTACACGTTCTGTGGAACTAAGTGAAGACATGATCCTTTTTGTTCTAGAACATGTGGATATCTTATAGTGTAGAGAAGTTGGCAAATACAAGAAGCCCCATCTTGTTTTTCTGGATCAGAAGGAAGGAGCTGACAGTTACGTAAGTAGACATAATTATTTTGCTCTGGAGTGAGACTGCTCCCTGATTTGATTAAACCAGACATGATCAGTCCATATCAATGACTGCTGAGACTTCTCCTTCTCAGAGCGACCTCAGACAGCCTCTTGGACTGAATTATCTTGATGCAAAACCACAGCTGAGTTTAAAAGCTGGAACCCCTTGCGGTGGGCATCGAAGCCCAGCAGATGAAGTGTCGTGCACTCGGCCCCAGGAATGGAACGCCTGCATCCCGTATCTAGGTGTCCAGCGATCAAGTCCTGCCAGCACTGCAGATTCAGCTTCCTGCTAATGTGCACCCTGGGAGGCGACAGATGGTGACTTACGTACTTGGGTCTCTGCCACCCAAGTGGAAGAGTCAGATGGAGCTCTGGGCTCCTCGTCTTTGCCTGGCTCAACTGCAGCTGTTGTAAGCATTTGAGGCGGGAGATCTGTCTCTCTCTCTCTGCCACTCTTTCTTTCAAGTAAATAAAAGGAAAAACTTTTAAAATGGAACTCACTGTCCCCAGTGCATTCCCATGACAGTCTGGGAGTATCTTTTTTTCCCCCACAAGTCAAGTAGTCAACACATCATGGTTTTTCATCGCAGAGCCTCCTGCAGCCAAACCATGTGGCACCCTGGTGAGTTAACTGCATTCCCGATGCCAGTGCATCTCGCTAGGAGATGTTCCGTCGGTTCTCCTGTGCGCTGGTCTGACTCTCCACCAGAAGAGGAAGCAAGAAGGTAAGGCTGGCTGAATATACAAAATCGTACCTGTTTTGGGATGAGAAAATATCTTCAAAAGAAAAGGGAGCAGGATCAGGAATGGAGCTAGACTAATGGAACGATGCAGGTAATAGAAGGCCAACACACACCATCTTTCTATGGAGGAAAAGACTGAGCGACAACGAAGCTAGTGCCAAGAAAAGCAAGATAAGATGGAGACAAGGAGCCAGATTCTGAAGTTGAACTTCTAGGTACAGGCAAAGCCCTATGTTTCTGAGGTCTGTTAACCCGTAGAGTCTCCTTTGCATTTCAGAAAATAATAAAAAGCTGAGTAGACCATGCAAGCTTTTTTGTTTTTGCCAGGAAGACAGGCAGCAAAGAAAGTCCCAGAATTTTCAGGAAGGTCAAGGACCAAAAAAATTGGACTTAGAGACCGAGAAAAAATAATGATGGTAAAAGTATTTTGGAGGAATAAGGTGCTTCATAGTTTCTAAAACCCCATCAACTCTGAGTGCACACAATATGCACTCTGAATGTGATCTCCACACTGCTGAGCACTGTGGTCCTGTTAGATCTTCCATCCAAGTGTTGTGTGAGTATGAATGCAATCTAGGCCAGCATTAGCTTTTTTGGGGCATCTCATTCCAAAGCACTTTGTTGCCATGAGATTCCTATAGGGTTTGTAGGTCAAGCATTGTTATTTCTTATTATTCTCATTTCAGTTATAAAGAAATACTTGCCGGCGCCGCGGCTCAATAGGCTAATCCTCCACCTAGCGGCGCCGGCACACCGGGTTCTAGTCCCGGTCGGGGCACCAGATTCTGTCCCGGTTGCCCCTCTTCAAGGCTAGCTCTCTGCTGTGGCCAGGGAGTGCAGTGGAGGATGGCCCAAGTCCTTGGGTCCTGCACCCCATGGGAGACCAGGAGAAGTACCTGGCTCCTGCCATTGGATCAGCGTGGTGCGCCGAAGAAATACTCAAGATCACAAGTGGCAGAAATGGGAAGGGAACACAAGATATCTGACCCTAAGCACAGTGCTCTATCCAGCTGTTCATTAATTTGTCCCTCCTCCTTTTCTCCCTCCCTCTCTTTCTTCTGTGGTGTTTGTTCATCCATAGATGAGTAACTATATGAACTATCTGTCCATCTACACAACAAAACTCATTGGACTCCTTGTATGTGACAGACAATGTTTAGGATTCTAGAGATGAAAAAAAAATGTAACCTTAGTATGGGCTACCCCAGGCTTGAGGGGCAAATGGGGCCACACTAGAATTTACATCTGTACCAGCAGGGGTTCTCCAGAGAACCAAAACAGTTAGTGTGTGTGTGTGTGTGTGTGTGTGTATGAAAGAGAGAGAGATTTGTTTGAAAGAATTGGTTTATCCAACTGTGAAGGCTGCCAAGTCTAACCTGTGCAGGGCAGGTTGGCAGCAGGCTGGACACCCATGGAAGAGCCAGTGTTCTGGGTGAATTTCCTCTTGATCAAGGGAGGTTCATTTTTTGTTCTAGTCTAGCCTTCACCTGATTGGATGAGGTCTACTCACATCAGAGAGGGACATCTACTCAATGTGTACCTATTCAAATCTTAACCTCATCCCAAAATACGCCTACAGAAATACCCAGAATAATGTTTGATCAAATATCTGGGCACCATAGCTGAGTCAAGTTGACATCTACAATTTATCAACACAATATCTAAGTAGCAACAGTGTATACAAGAACAGTCTACCAATAAGGCTCTGGATCACCAAGTTTCCTCCAGGTGTTTCTGGGAACACCCAGAGGAAGTCTTGATTGTGTCAAAACTCAGGTTTTGTGACTTTGGCATCTTGGTGGAGGGTCACCATCAGCCAGCTACTAGGGGGAGGTCCCTTCTCATGGATCCTGTTCCAGGGCATCTCAGGAGACATGATTCCCCTGGGGGCCATGGCCACACCCACAGTCCCACCACACAGCAGTTCTGATTTCCCAGGGTGTCAAGGTTGTGTTGAGGTTGGGAGTGAATAGAGATGGAGGAAGAATGGCCTCCCGGCCAAACCAGGGTGGCCTTTTATCCCTTGGATCCTCTACTTGTCCCTGTTTCACATATTCTTATTATTAAATCATTTTTCTTCCTGTTGACCTTTATGTAAAGGCATGGACTGGTTTCACTTAAAATGTATGACTGCAAACCTCAAAAAAGCACTCCACCACATGACAAGCCTCCCTCGGAAACATGTCATTTGCCCTCTGGTAAAACTATTTCAGGATTTCTTCAAACCTGCCTTTCCTCCACTCCTTATGAGCTCGTGCCTTCATCACATTCTTCATTGAGAAAGTGATCTTACAGAAGTAGGCTCTCCATATTTTCCAATGTGCCTCCCCTGATTCCCATGTTACCAAGTTATCCAAAATGATGGACACTCCCTTTGCCTCTCAGAAGTGTCTGACATGGACAGCACCTGCCAGCCTTTAAAAAATGTGCGTCTCTCAGCTCCCATGGCAAAACTGGTGCTGTTTGCCCTCTACTCAATTCCTATGGTAAGAACGCCAAGCTCTCCTATCTGGTCTTCTCTTCTTTATCTACACCACACTCCTCAGGTGACGTCATCCTGTCTTACAACTTTAAATATTGAGCCATCTATATTCCACATATGTATTTGCAGCCCATACCTCTCCCCAAGCTTCCGGTTCCTATGTCTGCCTGCCTGGTTGTGTTTATTTGGGTCCTCCAAGAAGCAGACTGGGTTAGATGTATAGGAGATTTACTAGGGGAGACGCCTGTGAATTGAGACAGGTAGGAGGCAGCTAGAGTAGACGGGAAGAGCCTCCAGCCAGGAGGGCAAGGCTGACATTCGTGGAAGGACAGAGAGATGGAAGACTTGGGGGTCAAGAGTCTTGGATGGAAGCCCTATTCCAGAAAATGTTCAGTCAGGCCAAAGTTGCTTGTTAAAAGGCCCCACGTCTTGCAGGAGTGGGCCTGCCTTAGTATCCCCATTGTACTCAGCCATCGCCTAGGGGCAGCCTGTGGGAAATTTGGCCTCACTGTGAAGTGTAGAAGCTGGGGCCATCAATTAATTTTGCTCCCTGCAGCAAGAGATTTAAGTAGTGCATTTTAATGTCCCCAATATTAGTTAACATCTCTTGAATTTCTAGTAGATATCTCAAATTTAGAATAGAAAAACAAAATGGAACTCCTGATTCTTGTCCCCACAGGTATGTTCCCTTTAAGCTTTTGTTATCTTGGTAAATGACCTCACTGTCCTCCAAGATGCTATCGCCAAAACCCTGGAACCCATCCTCGATATTCTCCCCCATTCCCTGCGTCCAGTCACCAAGTAAGCAAGTCTGACAAAGATCTGAAAGCAATAAGCACACGTTGACTATTGAGTAAGTGAATCTATTTCACAAGGCCTCAAAACTATCCCTCGGGTGCTGGTGGTGGCTGTTTTAGGTAGAAACAGGTTTTGCTGCACAAAACAGTGGCTTAGCTAAATTTGGTTTTTTATTTTTCATTGACCAAGAGATTCAGAGGCAGAAAAGCAGTCCAGGTCTGCTCCGTGGTTTCATGGTAGCACCAGGATCCGGGGCTCCTTTGTGCTTTCTGTTGGCGTCCTAAATGTGTGGCATTCTTACTGGTTTTTTTCTTTTTTTTTTAAGATTTATTTGTTTATTTGAAAGGTGGAGTTACAGAGAGAAGGGGCCGTGACAGACTGAGAGCGAGAGCAAGAGAGATGGGGGAGGGGGAGAGAGAGAGAGAGGTCTTCCATCCGCTGGTTCACTCCCCAAATGACCACAACGGCCAGAGCTGAGCTGATCAGGAGCCAGGAGCCAGGAGTTTCTTCCAGGTCTCCCACGTGGGTGCAGGGGCCCGAGGACTTAGGCCATCTTCTACTGCCTTCCTAGGCCAATTAGCAGGGAGCGGAATCGGAAGTGGAGCAGCCGGGACTTGAACCTGCATCTATAGTGGATGCCAGTGCTGCAAGTGGCGGCTTTCCCTGCTGTGCCACAGCACAGGCCCTGGCATTCGTCCTTACACTTCATGTTTCATGGACACAAGATGACTGCTCTGCCATATACATAATATCTGTGTGCCAGGTAGGTAAAGGGGGGAGGTCAGAGGTTGAAAGGTGCAAGTAGAATGTGTCTCATCGTTAAGGAGTCGTCACAGGCTGGGTTGCCCAGGATTCAGGCTCTTAGAAGTGATCAGCATGTAGGAGGTGTGTTAGGGGATGCTTTTCGGATCCACACCTGTGGAATGAGCAGAAGGAACCCGAGCAGGCAGAAGTTGGGCTATGATACAGGTCCAGTGAAGGTCCCAACCAATCCTGTTAGGAGCGCTGGAATTTGGAAGCTCCTTAGGCGTGGACTCAGATTGGAAAGAAGGAGCCAGATATTTGTCCTCATGTGGATAAGTTATTGGAGGCCAGCCTCCTGGGAAGCTGATTTCTTTAGTGGAGGCATCCCGTGTAAGTTCTAACAGTAGAGGGACGTCAGCCAGCAGTGTTCCCAACAGCTGCGGTGGTGAGCTCTTTGTTCCTGAAGGGAGAGCCAAGTGGTTGTTATCACAGAAACGTTCCTAGAAGCCCCACACGCTAACTCCTACTTCCATCGCGATGCTCACAACTGCCATGAGCTGTCTTTAGCCGCAAGGTAGACTTCCAGCTGGGCACATTACCACCCCAAATAAAACGAAGCTTCTGTCATTCGAAGGAAGGGGAGAGTATTTAGGGTTTGCAGGTAGGCCACCAGTAGCCCCTGCCATGGGACTTTTCATTTCCTTGTCTCTCTCCTCTTCTCTCTGAGTGCTTCAGCATTAAAAACAGACAAGCAAGTAAACCAACCAGATAAGCAAATCAAACATGAATAAATCCCATTCCTCTCTTATTAGTCAGTAAACAAAAGTTTATAAACAATCTCATGCAAAAAAAAAAAAAACACATAAAAACGCACACCTATAGATCTTGCAAGGAACATGGTTGCTACTATGTAAAAGATATTTTCCTCTTTACTGGGGTCAGTGCAGCCAATTTGAAGAGATACGTACACACTCCATCCTCAGGAAACTCACAATATAATGAGGAAATGGGCTAAGACAAGCTGACATAAGACAATGCCCTACGTGGGGAGGCAGGAAAGTTCTAGAGACAAAGGGAAGTCAAAGGAGGTGCACCCTAGCCTATGTCAAGGAGTCAGGAAAGTTTCTACATACAAGGTTATCCTGGAGACACCAGCATAACGAGAGGCAAGATGATCCTTTTCTTTCTTTTCTCTCTTTCTTTCTTTCTTTCTTTCTTTCTTTCTTTCTTTCTTTCTTTCTTTCTTTCTTTCTTTCTTTCTTTCTTTCTTTCTTTCTTCCTTCCTTCCTTCCTTCCTTCCTTCCTTCCTTCCTTCCTTCCTTCCTTCCTTCCTTCCTCCCTCCCTCCCTCCCTCCCTCCCTCCCTCCCTTCCTTCCTTCCTTCCTTCCTTCCTTCCTTCCTTCCTTCCTTTTTAAAGATTTATTTATTTATTTGAAAGTCAGGGGGCCAGCGCTATGGCGCAGTGGGTTAACACCCTGGCCTGAAGCGCCGGCTTCCCATATGGGTGCCGGTTCTAGTCCCGGCTGCTCCACTTCTGATCCAGCTCTCTGCGATGGCCTGGGATAGCAGTAGAAGATGGCCCAAGTCCTTGGGCCCCTGCACCCGAGTGGGAGACCTGCAGGAAGCTCCTGGCTCCTGGCTTCGAATCAGTGCAGCTCTGACCGTGGCGGCCAATTGGGGAGTGAACCATTGGATGGAAGACCTCTCTCTCTCTCTCTCTCTCTCTCTCTCTGCCTCTCCTCTCTCTGTGAGTCAGTGACTTGGCCATCTTCTACTGCTATCGCAGGCCATCGCAGAGAGCTGGATCAGAAGTGGAGCAGCCAGGACTAGGACCGGCACCCATATGGGATGCCGGCACTTCAGGCCAGGGTGTTAACCCACTGCACCACATCGCCGGCCCCTCTTTCTTTCTTTTCTTTTCTTTTTATTTATTTATTTATTGACAGGCAGAGTTAGACAGTGAGAGAGAGAGAGACAGAGAGAAAGGTCTTCCTTCTGTTGGTTCACCCCCCAAATGGCCACCACGGCCGGCATACTGCGCCGATCTGAAGCCAGGAGTCAGGTGCTTCCTCCTGGTCTCCCATGTGGGTGCAGAGCCCAAGCACTTGGGCCATCCTCCACTGCACTCCCTGGCCACAGCAGAGAGCTGGCCTGGAAGAGGAGCAACCGGGACAGAATCCGGCACCCTGAGTGGGACTAGAACCTGGGGTGCTGGTGCCGCAGGCAGAGGATTAGCCTAGTGAGCCGCCGTGCTGGCCTTTTTTCTTTCTTGCTTGCTTTCCTTTCTTCTTCCTTTCTCTCTTTTCTCTCTCTCTCTCCTTTCCATTATTTATCTTCTTTTTTTCCTCCAAGATATAATTTGTTTAAACTTTTATTTGTCTTTTTTTAGGGAAGGGGAAGAGAGAGAGAGAGAGAGAGAGAGAGAGAGAGATATCATTCCCATCTGCTAGTTCAGTCCCCAAATGCCTGCAACAACTGGAGCTGGGCCGCGGCTGAAGCTGGAATCTGGGAACTCAGAGTCTCGCACGTGGGTGGCAGGATCTCAATTGCTTGAGCCATCACCACTGGCTCTCAGGTGTGTGCTAGCAAGAGGCTGGCGGCAGGAGCTGGAAGCCAGTATCAAACCCAGGCACTCCCATGTGAGTTGTGGGCATCTTCAGCGCTAGGCTAAATGCTCGCTGAGAACAGTTGATATTTTTTTGGCTATCAGGAGGACAGGCAGTCTATTACCCAAGTTGGAGAGTGGGAAGATTGAGCACTGGGCAGCCAGACTCGAAGCATGGGGGAGACAGAGTGTGGGACAGTGCCAGCCAGGCATGTTCAGCAAAACTCTGCAAGGGCATTCCAAAAACTCTGTGGAAAACAGAATTGAAAGAAATTTATTTCAGTACAAAAATGTTTGAAATCCATAAATAGCTTTTTCATAATTTCTATTTCCCATGAACTTTTGAAGAGCCTGCTTGGTGCCAGCGAAGGAGCCATGGCCTTCCCCTTGGCGCTCCGCTCCTGCTGCCCAGCTCCAGGTCCAGAGCTGCTCTTCTGGGCAGCTCTGCAAGCGAAGGCAAGGGTGGCCTCTGGCAGGACTGCTGGAGAGAGAGGAAGGAAGGAGGCCTGCGGCCAGAGGCATGTGGCTAATGCCCGCGGAGGAATTACATTTCCACAAATAGCCCTTTCACGATCCTCTAGAGAGGAAACAGAGAAAGGAATTCAATGGGAAACATCAATTGTACCTGCACACCCAACTGCCGTGGTAACAGGAAAGCAGCAGATACTTAGAGCTGCCGTGCTAGGGCAGAGGAGGGTCTGGGTTTGAATCGAAGCTGTAGCACTGACTGGATGCATGCTCACTGCCTGTCAGAGACTCCTTTCTCCCCTGTCTCAAACGGAGTGCACAGGAGCTGGTCGCTTGCCTACTCGGTAGCCATTTACTCTCCTAGTCCTTTCTTACAGAACTCCAGTGACATTCAGCCATTCCCCTTAGTCATTGAGACCACACGCTCCAAACGTAACAGGCTCCAGTCCCAGTCTCCCTAAGCAGAGGACTTGAGATTTATCTATGCCTTCCCTCTGGTAGCAAATGGTGAGGCATGGGTACGTGATTCAGTTAGAGCAATGCTATGAGAGGGGAAGTCTTTGGAGGGGCCTTGGAAAGATGCAGATGATAAAGACAGATGCAGGAAGAGAAAAATCTCACGTCTTTCATTAGAACTTTTGTTAACTGCAGATGAATTCGAGAACTGCAGGAGCCATCTTGCAATCACAAGGCAGACTTACCAAGGTCAATATAATACGCTAAGAAAGTCCCAGGAAATATAGAACAAACAAGAGACCTAGAAGGCAGAGGTGAAGCACTGAATTAACCAATTCCAGAACGTCCCCCACTTTGGACCTATTGCCACTCAAGGTAATAAGTTCCTTGTTGTTTAAATCCGTAGCACTGAAATTCTGTTATTTGTAGATAAAGGCAATCCAATTGATGGAAAGAATATCTACCACAAGAAGGATTAAATATACTGACATTTAAAATGCCAACTCAAGGCCAATATACTAGGTATCTAATATATGTGTTCACTTATTTGAATTCCACTTTGTTATGATTTCTCTCAGAATCTCCACTATGCATGTAAAAAATATTTTATTTGAAAATTTTCCTGTCTTGGACTCTGTCTGGGGGTCACCAGCAATCTGGACCATTGTCCAACCAATTCAGCGTTTGACCTGCTTCCCAATCACTTCCAAGTGTTGGCCCAGAAATGGTCCCCGGAGTGCGTCTTTCAGCCAGAACCCACAGCATGGGGCTCAGGGCGGAAAGACAGAGACTTTGATTTTTACTCTAAAGATATTTCCTCCTAGAAAGTAAGAGGATATCTTAAAAGCCAGTGTATTTCTAGAAATTATGACTTAGGAAATTTGGAATTAATTTTGTTTGGAAATGGGTTACCTCCAAAAGGTAGTTACCTCCAAAAGGAGCCCAAAATATACAATTTCAGGATTCTTCTGTTGCTTGTCCAATTTGGGAATTAGTGTGTAGACTCTGCATGAAACAATATGACAGCACAAAAGCAATGCACACTATAAATATTCTTATTTCCGAACTACTTGTCAGCTATTTCCAGTGAGTAAATATTTACATGTTTTCCTCTCCCCATGTGGAAAGCAGTACTCACATATATGAACATAAATATTTTGGTGTATGTAAATATTTACTTGCATGAGCAATATATTTCTTTTTCTAGCCTTCCTTGTAAATTCTCTAACAACACAACAATTTCTGCTTGCAAATAAGTTCTTATCTTATGGCTCTCAAAGAGTATTCATCCAATGAGAGACATTTTATGGGAATGGTTAATTGCTGCTTAACTAAAATAGCTGGGGTCAAACCTGAACTCAGCACTATGCCACCTGTGTGATCTCGAATAAGTTATTTAGTCTTTCTGAGCCCTGAGTCTCCTTATCTGGAAGATGAGGGTAATAACAGCATCTACCTTATAAGATTGTTGAGAGTATTAAATACTTTAATGCATGAAAAGTGCTTCAGAGACAATATGACACATTGTGAGTCCTTAAGAAATGAATATTAAAATAAATATTTGGATTGGGCACTTGGCCTAGTGGTTAAGATGACAGTGAAGATGGCCACATCACATCTCAGAGGGCCTTGGTGCAGTCCTTGGCTCCATTTCCTGATTCCAGCTTCTTGCTAAAGGATACATTGGGAGAAAGTAGTGGTAGCTCAAGTAGTTGGGTCCCTGCCACCCACGTGGGAGATCCATATTGAGGTTCAGCCTCCTGATCTTGGTCTGGCCCAACCTTTACTGTTGTAGGCATTTGGGAGAATGAACCAGCACATGGACGATCTCTGTCTGTCTGTCTGTCTTTCTGTTTTTATTTCAAAATAAAATGAATGAATAAATAAATAATTTTTAAAAGCCAAACTTTACCAAAAAAGAAAAAAAGTGA